AAAAATTTTTTCAGGGTTAAACTTGTAATTTCATAATGATGTTACTCATTTCTAAAGACAAATAAAGTATGATTACGTATATATTGTGTGAATTTCAAAAAAAATTAAAATTAGTAGTACATTTTATTCAAGAAAAAATTATTTATTAGTGACGAAACATCGATTTATTATGCTAGTTGGCTTTTACCTACACCTCTACCTCTACACTCATACATCTGCCCGTAACACCCAAACCTTGCACACTCGTCGATACTTCCACACACTTTTTTTCCGCAATATATTTGAAAATAATAACCGATGTGAGAAGATTTCTTATAAATTTAACAGAACCCTGAAATATCAGGTCGGAGTAGTCCTTTCTTCATTAAGATAATGTCAGCCAGTATCTAAAAAAGGGAATAAACTTTTGACCAGAATTAAAGGCAAGATCTACACTATTATTTTTTTTCCAGTTGTTATCCGCACATCTACGCAATTTTAATTGTTATAAACTATGAAAGAAAAGATCGCGATAGAATGTCAATATTAAGACAAATATTTTTTTATTTTTAAGCCCCGTATAAAAGAAATATTTAATAATTAACTTTAAAAATCGTGCGATCAAGGAATTTTTTATGATACTAATTTAAACATTACTCAATAATGACACGTGTTTTTTTATGAACTGATGTTTTATTTTATTTACTGACAGATGTTCAAACTAACTATTTAAAAACTTCTTAATATTCTGTTAATGGATGTTATGTGTGAAAAAAATTAATAGAAAATAAAATTATAATTTAACCATATTTGGACTTATTGTAATGAGGTAAATTATTCCGAGTGTAATTGACCTTAAAAATAGTATAAATTATTGATTTTGTTGATGGAAAAAGTTACTCTTTATAGAGTTTATTATAAAGAAAAAATTATTTGATCTTTTTTTGGTAGCGCGTATTTTTTTATTAAATTTATTATATTGACCCATAATAAATTATAAATTCAAGAAATATATATAATATTTTAACTATATACTGTATATCCTCTCTACCAAAATTCACTATGCTTTTGCTAAATATTTTATGCTATACTTATACTATTTTTTATAGATCCATATGATTTACTTTTGCTACCGTTTCTATTGTGTTATCTATTAGTTATTTTTATTTTAATTTCTTTTTTATTAATTAATCTTCTTATTTCTTTTTTTAAATTAATTTTTATTTCTTCTACATCATGATCTTTATCTGAAACTGAATTGTTTGGTCGTGTTCTTTTTCCTGCCTTCTGGTAATCCTTTCCTTTTTTTCTACTTTTCGCATCTTTTATTTAAATTCGAGTTTTTATATTTTTGAAACAATTATAAATAATCATGTTTATTACTTTTTTTCTTTATTTTCATATAATTTAATTATACTCTAATCACCAAGCCTTCCGTTTATCGCTCTTAATTTCCATTCATCCTTTTGACACTAGAGGTTTATGATAATTTTTGATTGACTCTACTGAGTCCTACTGCTTTTTCGTAAGATACTAATTCTAATAATGTATCTATTTATATTTCTTCTTCTGTCTCCACAAACCAAACATGATTCAAATGTCTATATTTATTCCAGATAAAGTTAGTAACGCTCATTTTTGATAAATACCAATGTATCTTTCCAATCTATGTCTTAAAAATCAAAGTACATCATAAGTTTTTTTTGTCACGTGAAACATGTTTATCATCTAACTCCTTGATTTGATTATATCTTATCGTAATTTCATCTAATAACATATTATTCTATTAATTACAATGTTTTGTACTAATTTCAGATTTTTGTTAATTCTTTGTTTCATGCTTTAAGCTTTATATTATATTTTTAACTAATTCACCTTTAATTTGTGATGTTTAAATTTATCATAATTTTTTTCATAGCCGTAAATTCTAGTGCCAACTATATTAATTTTTCTATAAATTCAAATCAATCTTAATATTAATAATACAATTTAATGTCCATTGTACTAGTAATTTATAATTAAATGGGCCTCAAAAATATTATTGTTTCTACTATTCTTCTTTGAAGCTTTAAATTATTCATGTGTTTGTCAATTCTCGCAAATTTAATTGGCTGAAAAAGCCATGACGTGCTTTTAATATGTGCGTATTAAACTTATTCATATTTAACAAAAAAGACTAAATACCGTAATTCTTATTGATTCTCAATTTTTTACCTACCTTACTCAATTTAATATTAAAGGTATATCCTCCCCTCTCAGCCAATAACGTTTATTAAACTTCTTTCTTACTAACTTTACGGAAGTAAAACTTGCATAGATGCGTAAATAGCAACTGACAAAAGCCTATAAATTTTACATGTTACACCTATATTACATCTATATATAAGCTATATTTATTGCAAGAATTTAAAGCGAGGGTAAGTAGTGTGGAAGTGTAAAATATGGATGTACTACTATAGGTATGGATTTTTTGGTATGTAAGTGGTTGACCTACTATGAGTCTAGGAACTAGGATAGCTCTTTTCACCGAGCAAAACATATATATTAACACAAGTTAATTGAACAGATATGGCTAAAATTCCGTCTTGATTTTTTTATGAAAGATTAACCTTCGTTATTTGGCTCTTAGGTACCAATCATCCAAGTGTCTATAAAGCAGCAACGTTTAGCAATCATTAATGTTCACTTTTTCTTAGAATATATGAGTGAAGAAGAAAGAGGTAACGGTGGAGATGTGTGAACATGGTATTGTGGAATGTGTGGGTGTATGGGTGTGAAGGTATAGATTTAGTAACGCCAACTGATACGCTAAATTATTTGTAGTTTCAAGCAGGTTCCTTAATATTTTTACTTTAATGCAAATATATATAGCTAAAAAAGTTTATCGTAAAAGTTAAAGAGCGTTATAAAAATCTAAAGTACAAAATCCAAATCCGTATCATTAGTGCTTCGATCCGTTTCTGTCTCATCCGGATGAATCCGGATGAATCCGGATTTTTTTTTTATCCGGATATCCGGATTTTGACCCGGATTTTGATCCGGATGGAAAATATCCGGTTTGAACCGGAATCCGGATGAGTTTTCATATATATTTACTATATTCACGCAATATATCGCCATCCAGTAATCGTAGAAAGACGATTAATGGCTCATTGGAATCGTCGCATCGAGAGCTTTCGAATGGTACTAAATTGAGCTTTCTAGCTTCGATAGATGATGAGATAATTTTTAAAATATTTACATGAATAACTCGCCATCTATTGATGCTAGAAAGGTTATTTTGGTACCATTCGAAAGCTCTCTATGAGTGGATTCTAATGATCCATTAATCATTTTTTTATGATCACTGGATAGCGAGTTATTGCGCGAAAACAGTTCTGACTAATTAGAAAAGAACTGTAAAATAGTTTTTTTTTAAATGTAAAATATATTTAAATGTTCTTTATTTTATTAACTTTAAAAATGTAAAAAATACACCTTTTTCAATTCAAATATGAAGATAAAAAAAAATTTTAAAAAATAAAAAATTTTGCTAAATTGTTAGAGTATTTGAAAAAAAAAAATACAAAATAAAAAAATTAATTATTTACTATTCTTCTCCTTAAAGTTTATTAAAAAAGCCCAGATTCTTATTAAATAAAAGCCATAAAGTTTATTTAAAAAAGCCCAGAGTTTATTAAAAAAGTCTGGATTTTTATTAGATAAAAGTCTTAAAATTTATTAAAAAAGCCTAGATCCTTATTAAATAAAAGCCATAAAGTTCATAAAAAAAGCCCAGATTCTCATTAAATAAAAGCCATAGTGTTTATTTAACAAAGCCACATACTGTATTTTATTAAATATTAATACATAAAGTTTAATTAAGTTGTAAAAGTTACAAAGTATAGCCATAAATTCTAAAAATTAAATTGATATTAATATTAATTTAATCCAAATTTCATAAAATATTTGTTAAAATTTTTTGATAATAAATATGTTGGAATGCTATTCGATGTTTATTATATGGATCATCAACTAGTCCGCAGTCAAAAAAAATTTATCCAATCCGGATTCCGGTTTCCATCCGGATTATCTGACCCGGATATTAATCCGGATCAATCCGGATAGAATCCGGATTTTTTTTTGTGTAATCCGGATGACGGTTTTCATCCGGATCGAAGCACTACGTATCATTGTTGTTAAAAACAAAATATTAATCAATAAAAATTCTAAGTAGCGATTTCAAAATTTTTTTTATTAACAAGATAAATAAGCAAATTTGTTTATTGGAATACTGATTGCACTACATTTCCTACTTTTATTTATCAATATGAGTGATTACAAATTTATACCCAGTAATGAATGATTCTAATAATGAATCTTTTGACTTGTAATAGTATTCCTGAATATAGTTATTTTAGTGATGATCAAAGTACTATGTGGAATACTTTCTTTGAAAATCGGATCAAAACTTTCTACTTGGAATTCTGCAATTACACTTGGACATTGAAAATTAGTAACACATCAGCAAAAATTCAATCTTTCGCGACTAAGTAAAATAATGACATGATTTTCGTTACTATATTATTTAATGAATATTTGTGATCATGACATAAATTCTTTGTCATATTACTTTTAAGAAAATGAGGCGTTTAAGATTATTATTAATTTGAGACCGTCGTCAATATATTTAATTCAAAATATGTAAATTATGTAATTCAGAAGGGATTATAAAAAATTCACAAACTGTACTTTGTATAATTTTACTGCAAATCACATAACGAATAAGTATCAGATAACGCTTCAATATAAAACTTTCATAAAAACTGATAAATATAAATAATATTTTATATCATACTCCAATGCTGAAACATTTTATTTCACTACTGCGGTACTGCGGATACTGATAAGCAACTTTTTTGTTTGGTAATACTAAAACACTGAGCGCCAATATTCTGCATGAAATACTTAAAATGGGTTATTTCAATGAAATATTTCTACAACCTTAGCGTTCAATCAAAACTTTCTGTAAATTATTCAATATGTCTGATAATGAGAAAATGCAAACCTCCGAAAATACGAATGAATGGATTAATTGGATTGAAGAAGCTATTGTCAAAGAACACTTAAAATTTTACGAATACAACCTATTTAGTAACTTTCTAAAAATTGGTGCTGGAGGTTTTGGAAAAGTGTACCGTGCAAATTGGAAAAATTTAGAAAAGCAATTAGCATTAAAATCTTTTTTTAATCTTGACAACATCACTGTGAAAGAAATTGTTCGTGAGGTAATTAAATATACGATAAATTTTTTTTTCTTATTCTGTTTTATTGGTCCATTACATTTATTACAAAATTTTAATTTATTTATTTAGTTGAAAATTCAACGTGAAGTTGACTTTCATGATAATATTATACGTTGTCATGGAATAACAAAATTTGAATCAGGTATTATAAAAATTTTAAAAATAATATATTAAGTTCCTTTCATAAAAACATTTTTAATGGCTTTTTTTTTATTTTCAGAAAACCATGATAATGGTATTAATTATATGCTAGTAATGGAATATGCAGACGGTGGTAGTCTTCGAAATTATTTGAAGAATAACTTTAGTAAATTAACTTGGAATAATAAGTACCTTATGGCGTACCAGTTAGCCAGTGCTGTGTCATGCTTACATGTTGAGGGCGTTGTCCATCGTGATTTGGTGATCTATTTATTATTATTTTATATTGTTTGTAGTGTTATATTTACTTATTTAATACTGTACATACATTTTTAATAGCATTCTAGCAATATATTAGTCCATCAAAACGTGATCAAATTGGCAGATTTTGGGTTATCAAAAAGAATCGGGGCATCGTCCAATTTTCAATCAAAATTATTTGGTATGGTTCCTTATGTTGATCCAAAAAGTTTTAGCAGGAGAAGAAATAATAATAACCAAATGTATTCATTAAATGAAAAAAGTGATGTTTACAGTATTGGAGTATTATTATGGGAATTATCAAGTGGACAACCTCCTTTTTATGCTGATGGTGAACATTATGATGTTGGTCTAATTTATGACATTTCGCAAGGTCATAGAGAAATAGCTGTTCCTGATACACCCAATAAATATGTAAAAATTTATACTAGTAAGTAAAATTTTAAGTTTAATTACATAATCGAATTTATTTGAATATATTTTAATTAATCATAATTATATTTCTCTTTTTTCAGAATGTTGGGATGGTGAGCCAGATAATCGTCCAACTATATTTCAAGTAGTTGATTGGTTAAAAGCAATCATTACAAAAACAGATATAATAATAGAAAATCCTCAAGTATCAAAAAATCAAAAATTTAAAGAGGCCCCTTCAAGTATTAATAATTCAGAATCACAGGGAGAATTATCTCAACTTATTAATAATTTTAATAAAATGAATACTAAAGAAATTGATACCACAGTAAAATCAGATAAGCAAGAGAAATTTTCAAGTGAAATAAATTTTAATAGTATAGTTGATGAAATAAATGATTTAATTTTTAAATTATATAATAAAGGAATTGGATGGAAGCTAGCAAAAGATCAAGTTATTGATTATTTTAATAATCACAATATTAATTTGCAAGAAATTTATAATTGGTTATTAAATAATCAAAATAATTCAAATTCCATTTTTTTACTTGGATATTTCTATTATAGGGGAATTGAAACAAGTAAAAATAGGGAGAGAGCGTTTAATTTATTTATTATTGCATCAGAACAAGATCATATAATTGCACAATATTTTGCTGGGTATTGTTATTTTAGTGGAACTATAAAAAATGAAAAATTAGCTTTTGAATATTTTGAAAAATCGGCTAATAAAAATTTCTCACGAGGACAATCAGAAATTGGTTATTTTTATGGGCATGGAATAGGTATTAAAAAAAGATTTGAAAAAGGCCTTTTATTGGTATGAAAAAGCTGCAAGTAATGGAAATATAATTGCTATATGGAATCTTGGCCTTTGTTATGAAAATGGAATAGGTGTTGAAAAAGATTATAATGAAGCTTTTAAATTGTATAAGCAATTAGCTGAAGAAGGAGATTTAGATGGATTAGCGATGTTAGGGTATTGCTATAGTTATGGAATTGGAACTAATATTAATAAACAAAAAGCATTTGAATTATATCAAAAATCAGCAAACTTAGGAGATGAAACTGCACAATATAGTATAGCTAAATGTATAAATATGGAATAGGAATTACAAAAGATATAGACAAAGCAATATATTGGTATGAGAAATCTTCTGAACAAGGAGATGAAATAGCACAAAATAAATTAGAAATACTTCAAAAAATGTCTATAATTTATAATAAATTCTAATTTATTAATTTATAATATAGTAAATATAGTACTCTAAAATACAATAAATAAATATTTTATTAAATTTATCAATCATTCTTCCACTATAGATATTTTCTATTAATTTAAAATGTTATAAAATTCATGAGGACTTAAAATTACTTATTTTCTTTCTGAAAAATTAATTGAACTTCAAAAAGATAAATTGCGTAACCACTATTTAAAATATAGGTTTGCAAATTAATACTTATTAATTTGAGACAGCCTTGTATAATATTTTGTTGGTAATCTTTATTTGCTATCTAAGTAAAAGATGGATTTAAAATAATGCTTTTATACCTTATTGTTTTATTTTGTACTGTGATAAATTTTAACTTAAAAATATGATAATTTATATTGTCATTAAAAATTTCAATTTTTCAAATATCTTTAAAACCAATTATTACTAATATTGTAGAACATAATAATTATAATCAACCAAATGTTTGAAATCAAGTTATATTGTATTAATTACATATGAAATATTGTAAGTAAAATTATTGCAAATATTATAATGCCTAAAGTCCACCATTTGTATATTTGTTATGCTAATAATTACTAGCACATTAAGCTTAATATAGCTTGCTTATAATATCAGATACTATTAAATATGCGAATTACTATTATAAAAATTATTATATATAATGTTAGTTTATTAAGATATTGTACTTTTTGATATATTTATAGAGAAAGATGGGAGTTACGTGTTTATGATCTAGTATTAATTTAATATAAAGCTTATGAGAGCTATAAAAAGTTTAGTTAAGATGGTTCGGATAATAACATTAATTGTGCGTTATGCTTATGATGCAGCAGCTCTAAGTGAATTATAAAAATCACATGTGTTGTTTGTGTTGTTAAATTATTACTGCAAACCATATAATAATAGATAATATTTTCATAAAACAACTTTTATAAGAGCAATCTTTCCTTTAACTTGTTCAATATTACTGCGGTACTACGGCTAATGATAGACGGTTTTTTGTTTGGTGATACTGATGGCGCTGTGTGACAATCTGCATAAAATACTTAAAAGGGATTGTTTTCGTTACAAAAAAAAAAAATAAACTTTTGACGTTCAATCGTATTGTTTTTAAAACTTTCTTGTAAATTACTATATGTCTGATAATAAGAAAATGCAAGACACCGAAAATGCGAATACGAATGAATGGATTAATTGGAATGAAGAAAAAACTATAATTACAAAAACAGATATAGCAGAAAATGCCCAATTTTCAAGCAATAAAAAACTTAATGAGGAAACTTTAAGTACCAACAATTCAGAATTACAAGGAAAATTATCTCAAATTTTTCAACATTTTGACAAAATAAATATAAAAGAAATTGATCCTATAACAGTATCAAAAGAACGAGAAAAACTTTCATTTGAAAAAGGTTTTGATATAATAATTGATAAAGTAAATGATTTAATTTTTAAATTATTAAATAAAGGAATTGAAGGAAAAGTAGCAAAAGAGCGAGTTATTGAATATTTTAATAGTTATAATGTTAATTCACAAGAAATTTATACCTGGTTATCAAATAATCAAAATGTTTCAAATTCCATTTTTTTACTTGGATATCTTAATTATTATGGAATTGAAATAATCAGAAATAATAAGAAAGCATTTAATTTGTTTACTAATGCATCAGAAAAAGATCATATATTAGCACAAACTTATGTTGGTGAATGTTATCAATATGGATATGGAACTATAAAAAATGAAAAATTAGCTTTTGAATATTATGAAAAAGTGGCTAATAAAGATTTTGCAAATGGTCAATTAAGAATTGGTTACTTATATTATAATGGAATAGGTATTAAAAAAGATTTAAAAAAATCTATTCATTGGTATGAAAATGCTGCAAATAATGGAAATATAATGGCTATGCATAATTTAGGTAAATGTTATTTAAATGGAGAAGGTGTCGAGAAAGACTATAATAAAGCTTTTGAACTGTTTAAACGATCAGCTGAAGAAGGATATCTTCGTGCAACAACAATGTTAGGATATTGTTATGAAAATGGTACTGGAATTGAAATTGATCATCAAAAAGCATTTGAATTATATCAAAAATCAGCAAATTTAGGAAGTATGATAGCACAATATAATCTTGGTCTTATGTATGAATATGGAAAAGGACTTACAAAAGATATAGACCAAGCAATTTATTGGTATGAAAAATCTGCCAACCAAGGATGTCAAAATGCACTACATAAAATAAAATCGCTTTAAAAAATTAATAATTTCTAATTAAATTAATTAAATTGTGAAATGTGAATCAATTAAATTTGCTACATTATTTTTTAATTTATAAGATACTATTAATCTACTATATAATAAATAAAAGATCAAATAAAGCTTTTCACTGCAAGCATTTTTATTATTATTAAATTAACTACATGTATAATTTTCCTTTTAATTTAAAATGTCATTCTAGAACTATGAAATTCATGAAGATTTGAAGTTATTATTTTTTCTTGAAAATTAAATGGACCGAATAATTAACACTTCAGTACTAGTACTTTAAGAAATAATGAAATACTAATCATATATATGAAAAATAAGATCGTAGTATTAAGGCATACTTTTTTTATCTAAAGCAAAAAAAGATTTAAAACTTTATGTAAAAAAAAAATACTTTTTATAACTGAATTACAAAATAAATATTAACAAAATGAGAATTTTTTGTTTATTGAAATCATGTGTTCAAAGAATTTTTTACTATATTAATAATGTAAACATTATTAGCATTATTAAGATTTTAGCCAATTGATACTTTCAACATGCTAATATAATTTATTACGATGTTATTAACATGATGTTGCATATTATTTATTAATAAGATGTTCAACTGGCTAGTAATTTAAAAATCTTTTTAATACTTATTTAGATATCATAACCATTACCAATTTTCCGTTATACATTGCATAATCCCACTAGACAAAATTTAAATACTAATTTAAAATTTTTTGAATTCCTATATAAATAATTTTGTATATTTTATTTTATTATCTGAATAATTAGTATTTAATTACTTTCAATAGTTAATATAAAGGGCTGATAATATTATCAGATAACTATAAAAGAAGTTAGTGATACTATTATAAAAACATTTGAGTTAAAGAGTAAATCTTTTTATATATTTGAGTTAAATTTTTATTAGCTGTGTCATGTATAAATTAATGAAAAATTTAATAAATTTAATACAAAGAATGTGACGTTGTGACGTTGTGACATGACACACGTAAACAGCTCAAATCCTACATAGTACATATAGTATATAATTGGACGAACCACATGTTCTATATGACTATACGCTATATGGTATAGGTTTTATGGCAAGCCGTTCAAGTCAAAAGTCCGCTGCTATTGCGGCAGGTACCTGCTAGATTTGCGGCAGGTACCTGCTGAATTTGCAGCAGGTATCTGCTGGATTCACGGCAGGTACCTGCTAGAATTGCAGCAGATACCTGCTAGAATTGCGGCAGGTACCTGATAGATTTGCGGCAGGTACCTGCTAGAATTGCGGCAGGTACCTGCTAGATTTGCGGCAGGTACCTGCTGAACTTGCAGCAGGTACCTGACAGGTTACAAATATGGTATTTTATTTTTTCTGGGTCAAAAAAATTTTTTTGATTTCCATTTATAGTAATCTACCGAATTATTGGATCCAAGTTAGTTTATTTCTTTTTTCAGAAGTGAT